CGCCGCGACCTGCGCGGCGCCGGCGCCGCCCGCCCGTACGGCCGCGCGCGCCGCTGCCGCCGCCGCACCCGCCGCCGCCAGCCGCATGTGCACGTCGCAATCGCGCGCCGCATGGCCTGCCATGGCATCGGCCAGCGCGGCGGCTGCGGCGCCCACGGGGCCTGGGAGCGCGCTGGCCGCCGCAGCCGTGGCTGCTTGGATGGCATCGAAGCGCGCCGCGGCCGGCAATTGTGCGGTTGATGACTGCAGCACCAGCTGCAACCCGTCACGAGCAACCTCCACCGCCTGCAACGCCATAACCTCGTCATCCTCACCCGTTGCAGCCGCGGCGCCACCGCCGGCGCCCACGCCACCTTGCGCGCTGCCACCGCCACGGCCGCCGGTGCCGTCCTGCACCACGGCCGCAGCGGCCGGCGCGCACGCGCGGCCGAGCGCCGCTGCCAGTAGACGCGTGCATATCAAGGCCAAATCAATGCTGGAAGGGGATTTGAAAGCTAAGCTTGGGCTCAAGATCAAACGCAGCAGCGCTGCGCCCGCCTCTGCCGCTTCCAGGGCCGCGGCCACTGGCGCACGTCCCGCCGCCGTTGGCTGCTGCTCCCCGGACGCCCCCGCGGCAACCCACGCCTGCAGCAATGAGAGGTCAAATGCTAGAACCTGCATGAGCTGCTGCTGCTGCTGCTGCTGCTGTTGTTGTTGCTGCTGCTGCTGCTGCTCCTGACCCGGGGGTCCTGAGGCCGCAACCTCGGCTCGTCCCTGCTCCGACCCATCGCCAGCACTGCCGTCGCCCGCCGGGCTGCCGCCGCCGGCAAGGCCTCCTCCGCTGCCGCCTGCACCTTCCTCAATCCCAATATGCGCCTGGCCGGCCCCCGCGGCGCTCAACTCTGCTTGAAGCCGCGATATTCCTCCCAGCAGCGCGTCGGAAGCAGCGCGCCCCGATGGCGCCGCCCCGCCCTGCCGCAGCGCAGCCAGCCAGGCCGCCGCCGCCGCAGCCACCACGTCGGCGTGCGGCGACCCGCGCGCCGCCGCCGACGATGACGTCAGCAAGGGCCAGGCGGCGGCCAGGTCGGCCTGGAGCGCAGCGGCGCCGGGGAGGCTCGGCAGGGCCGCCGCCTCGACCAGGCCTGTGAGGCTCCGCAAAAGCTGCACCGCGTGCCACCGCGGCAGCGCCGGCAGCGCCAGGCAATCCGCCGCCGCTCGGAGCGCCGGCGTAGCGGCGTGCGTTGCAACAGCATCGGGGTCTGCAAACAAGCACGGGCCGGCGCTGGCGGGCCCTGCTTCTTGTAGTTGAGGGCCGCCTGCGGGAGCCGCCTGTGAATCCGCAGCAGCCGCAACCGCAGACGCCTGCAGCGCAAGCGCAGCCGCCGCGCACGCCATCCCGCACGCCCGCCGGTCCCCGCCCGCTGCCGGGCCCGCCGCGCGGCGCCGCGCGGCCAGCAGCAGCCGCCGCAGGGGAGGCATGAGTTCCGCAAACCGCGCCGCGCCGCCGCCGCCGCTGGCATTGCCGCCGTCGGCGGAAGCAGCCGCGCAGGCGGCCCGTGAAATGGCCACCAAACAGCTGGCCAGAGAACACAGCCGCCCCAGAACCTCCACATCTTCAGCCTCCAGCATCTGTGGGTGCTGCTGCTGCTGCTGCTGCTGCTGCTGCTGCTGTTCTTGTTGCTGCTGCTGCTGCTGCTCTTGCTGCTGCTCCTGCTGTTGGTGCTCGCCAATCACCTGCCGCTGCTCATCCCCCTGCCCGCCCTGCTGCAGGCCCTCCCCGTTGCTCTCGTCAACCCTTGCCTGCCCAGCTCCCTCCGCCGGCGCCATATCCTGCAGGTCCGCCAGCAGCCGACGGGCCACCAGCAGCGCCGCCTGCCTCTGATCCGCGCCGCGCCAGCAAGGACCCAGCGCGGACAGGGCCGTCGGTATCATGTGCCTGGTGCGTCGAACAAACGAGAGGCGGGGTGGCAGAAATTGCGAGGGCATCAGCTGAAAAGGTGAGGATGCGGCCCATGTGTAGCACAGATCACCAATGCCTCTGCTGTGCTCTTGGCCACGCGTGCTTCACTGCAAGCGCCCGGCAGACGTGCTTGCTGATGCACACGGGCCCACAACGACACGCGTTCTCGCACACGCCTGAGTCCAGATGAATGCGCGCTCGCGCACACACACACACACACACGTACACACACACGCACACACACACGCACGCACGCGCACACACAGCGACATGCACTCCCGCAACTGGTGCATTCATATGGACACATGTGCACCCGCACACCTGTCGGCATCACGCAGACTAGGCTCCAGCGCCCAGCCCAGCATGATATCCAGAAGATCTTCCCAAAGGGCCCCAAGCGCGCCGGGGGTGCAGCGCGCGCAGCAAATCAGCAGCCGCAGCAGCGGCGCCAGCAGCTCAGGCGGTGTCGCCTCTGATTCAAGGAGAGAGTGGATGGCGGAGAGCGTCCGAGCGCACGCGTCTCGCGCCGCGCCGGCCGTACGAGGCGGCGGAGGGGTCCTGCCCAGTTGAGGCGCAGACGGAGGTGGTGGTGCCGAGCTGGGGTCGTCGGCTGGATCGGTAGGCAGCTGCGAGACGGCTGCCGCCAAGGTGCCGCACAAGACGGCCTGCGGATGTCGGTGGGGCCACCAGGGCATGCGCGTTCATGAGAGAGCTAGATTCGCCAGCGATGAAAACTCAAGCCGCGCCCAGCCGCACCCTCCTGAGGGTGTCGTGGCAAGCACCTGATTCGACCTGCACACATTGGGGTGCTGAATCACGCCGCAAACGCAGGCCTGGCTGCTCAGGCCACTGGGCAGCCGCACCTTGACGTCTGGCTCGGCGGGCTGGTCAGTGCCTGGCAGGCCCGCCTGCCCCCCGAGCAGCGGCAGCAGCCAGTCAAACAGGAGAGTGCGAGGGGGCGCTTGCGGGGGCGCCGCCGGCCGACCCGGGCCATGGCCGCGGCCCCGGCCCGAGCGCCCGCGGCCGCGGTCGGCAGAATGGGCAGCTACGCAGGGGGCTGGCGGCGGCTCCGCGAGGCCGCGGGCGATTGCGGCGCCGATGGCGCCGAGGAGGGGGGCGGCGGCTGCGCGCACGTGCGTATCCGTGTCCCAGAGGCAAGCCAGGAGCTGCTGCCAGCTTTGGAGGGCGGCTTGCAGGACTGCCGACTGCCTGGGGTGGTGCAGGAGGGAGAGGGGGAGAGTCCCAACGTGGGCGTGTGCATGAGGCTGCGGCGCTGAGAGGCGCTGAGGATTAACAGCAGAAGCTGGCAAGCGGCCAAGCATGCGAATGAGAGGCCTGAGCATGTGGTCGGTCAGAGGTCAGCCGAATCATGCCTCACCTAGCCGGATCGTCGGCGCAGGCGAGGAAGAGGCGGAGGATGGATGAGAGCGCCGCCGGCCGAGCGCCACCTGGCTCGGCGCCCTGTGGGCGCTGCCCCAAGGCGACAGACAGCAGGCTCTGCAGCTGCTTGCTGTCGCTCCGGCCGCCGTGTGCAGGCTGCTCTGCAGGGACGGCGGCAGCGGCGGCTGCCAGGGCAGGGGCTGGGGCTGGGGCCCCCCCATTGCTGGGGGCCTGGCCTGGCTGCAGCCGCCTGACCAGCACTGGCCTCATGTCCGCTGGACGCGCGGGGGAGGATGTGGTGTGATGGATGGATGATCCCTTCAGGTGATCATCGATGAGCCTGCCGCGACGTCCGCCGCCTTCGCCGCCGCCCTACAAGGCGCACAAGCGACCGCTCGCGCGCTGCTGCACGCGCCGCCCGCGCCGCTGCCGCTGCACGCCACAGCAACCTCGTCGCTCAGGCGTGGTGCGGCAGCTTGTGCCTGCATCGGATGATATATTTCAAATCGCCTTCGCTGGCATGCCTTCCTGCTAAGCGTGCCAGCGTGAGTAAGTTGATCAAAGGGTTGGGGTCCGACCTATGATGCGTGACAACGTGTTAAACACTGGTTTCAAGTGAGTGCAAACCAGGCTGAACGAATACCGTACAGTCGGGATCAGGGCTGCTGCGGTGACTCTGAAGGGAGTTGGAGTGACACATGCTCACCTGATCATTTGTGGATGAACATGTGATATTCGACTTCAGGCCCCCCAAATCTTCTGAGGATGAGTACGTCAGGTGACAGAGGAAAGACGAAGCACCGCCCACCTGATCCAGCAGCACCGCCTGCAGTCCAAGTCCTGCGCGCTTGCATTTGACCTTGCGCTTGGGCTTGCGCTGCCTTTCACCACGCACCCATATGTGGCCCCAGATGACATGGAGTTATTGCTGCTGCAGCTCGCGCCGCATTACATGTGCAACAAATAAATCAGACAAGTTTGTCTGCGTGGCTGTGCATGGCGTTGCGTGGGGCGCGTGCAAGCACATTGCAGGTGTGCAGCTGGTGATGATGCTTTGATGCCCGACACGCTGGTGGTGACTTGCCATCAGGTTAGGATCAACAGCCACAATTACAGGCTGATGTCACCTGCCACGGCTGCTGATGGCAGCGGAAAAGAATGTGGCAACGGCGACCACACACATCACTCATGGCCTGCTGGATACCACTCACAATAGATGTTGTGTTCCAATTTCAGCAGTAGGCTACAGCTCCTGCCACCACTATGCAAGCAATGCCCAAGCGATATTGCCATTATCCCTCTACCACACAGGTCGCCAACCGACACCAAGCAGAGGCCTGCTCATTCCCAAGTCGGCCGCTTCCGGCGCCGACACAGCTGAGGACCAGCCCCCCAAAACACCTCCGCCAGCCGGACCCGAACTGGCGTCTACCAGTTCTCAAAGGGCGCCCCCAGCGGTGCCTTGACCCTGTCCGCGGCCTTCTCCAGCTCCAGCACCTCCCCCTCCTCCAGCCGCCACCCCACCGCGCCCGCAATCTCCTGGACCTGCGCACACGGGACGCGGCGCGGTGCGGCGCAGCACGATGAAAGCGCGGCACAGATGATAAAACATGTTTTTTTTTCAACTAACAATGTCGAGCCTCGAGACTCTCTTACCAGCAGGCGGTTGGCCGCCGTGGCCGCGAGCGTAGGATGCATGCTGCTGGCACGGTGAGAACCTGGGCGCCTGCCTGAGGCAGGGGAGCGCATCCATCCTAGGTGCCTCAACCCATCAACACTCAGCCGAAAACAGCACACCCCAGCGGCGCGCCTTGGCCCCGTCGCCGCGCCCGCGCCCCGCCCCGCTGCCGCGCACCTGCTTGGCGTTCTTGGCGCCGGGAATCGGCAGCGCGCCCTTGCAGATGAGCCAGTTGAGCGCCACCTGCGCAGGGCTCTTGCCGCGCTCCTGCCCCACGGCGCGCAGCACCTCGATCAGCGGCTGCACCTCTTCAATCTTTGAGGAGTAGATGCCTGCGCGCGGCCCCGAGGGCTTCGGGCCGCCCGGGACGTACTTGCCTGCATGGGGGCGCGTGTGCAGGCAAGTGTGTGTATGTATGTGTGTGCGTGTGTGTGCGCGTGCGTGTGTGTGTGTGTGTGTGTTGCAAGGGTACGCACAAGCACTGTTGCAGCCGAGCCGGGCTATGGAGCGAGGAACGTCAATAGTAGGCCGGCAGAGGAGGCTCGCGAAGGGTGCCGACGCAGGTGCGGCGCCACGACTTGGTATCAGGCGAAGCTGGTCCGCGCCACAAAGCGAGTACGGCGGGTGGCGGGGATGCAGCAGGCGGAGCCGCATGCCGTGAGGGGCAGCCCACAGCATCAAGGGCGCGTGCTGCAGCCTCACCCGTGAGCAGGCCCTGGCAGAGGGGGCTGTATGCCACGAGGGTGACGCCGTTCTCCCTGCACGCCTCCAGCACTGGGGTGAAAAGAATGGCGGGGGACGCAAAATGTG